TTATACGAATGGTTTTTGAGTTACAGTTAACTGTTTTGTAATCTGATATCAAGGTAACTGACAAATATTACTACACCTCCTAAAGATCTAAACTGAAGATAACTCTCAGTGAGTAACAACAGATGGCTACAAGATGTGACTTTTCCGAATAAATTAAATCTATCTAACCCTATGTAATGACAAGAAACAGTTGCTCGGACACTCATAATCCTTTATTTTGAAAAAAACCTGTGAAAAGAGTAATCAAAAAGTGTGAAAATATACAGGGTGGTCCATTGGAACATTTTGAGAAATCATTCATTTTGTGGTCTTGGCCACGCTGTATAAACAAACCAAAATTTTTAAGAGTAAGTAAATATGGAGAAAATATGGGATTATGAGATTTGACCGACGAAAAATTCTGTCCTCTAGCGGAGGTGAGGGTCTTTTTTCGATGGATTGCCCATTGCCTGGTCAATTTGAGTATAGACCCCAAAGGCATCTTATATTCCTCCGTTTTGAAGGGCCTATCCGAATCTACAATAAAATGTAGGTCTATCTATTTAAGAAAACGTATGTCTTGGTCATCACGTAATTATGAGTCACCCTGTAGAAATAAAAATATTTTCCATGCAAAAAGCAAACTTGATAAATCCGTGGTTTATTTTGATTCTCAATATTGTATCCGCTTCTAGGTTGTTCGGTGGCCCCATGGTTTATTAAATTAACTACTATCTTTCGAAATTGGGTTTTAGAAGGCAGCAAGTATAGCGCTAACATTTCAAACTTTTCTTCATTTGAGTAGGGAATACCGGCAATTTTCAACAGGTTTTGACGATTTTTTTTGTCAGATGTATGATTTTAATGAGAGAAGACGTACCGACTACTCATTAAAACACAATTTTAATACTTTGAATTATTTACCGTCAAAATTCAGAGCCCCCTTAGATGAAAAAAATGCGTTACTTATTAATTTTATTTTCTGACCAATAAATCATTGCCATAGAACAAAACTAATACATGACACTACGTGTGATGATATTTCGATGAAACTCCAATCTTTTAACCATTTCGGATGTACTGGCAAAAAAATTCGACATTTTCGGTTTCTGGCCGATATTTCCAAAATCAACTGAACAATCGTAAATCTGAAGCCGGCTATCGAAAGTTTCCTCTAAAACCTTTCTCATTCAACCTTTGCTGTAGATATACCAGGAGCCGAGATCTCTGTATAGAGAAGCGAAACTGGGACACACGGTGCAAAGGGGATGCTAATATTTATTAAATCTTTTAGTAGATAGAACATAGTGTAGTTCCTCGTGTTCAGCCTAGGCACAGTGAAGTTTGAGCTTAAAAAAATGTCTCCACAGTAAATCTAATTGATTGCTTAGGCACTTGTGCAAAAAGCAGCAGCTTAACACAAAAATATTTGATGTTCAAGACCTCATCGTGCCAAAGTGATCTAAAAGATATTTCTTTGGATCGATGAGATCACAATAAGCTTTTAAATGCAGATGTTTTAAAAATTTCGTTTGTATTTTCTGGACCTTAGATATGTATGCAAGATATAAAGGAGACAAATGATACCACCATATTCAAATAAACTTCTAACGTATAGTCTAATCATATTAGACGAAAATACTCTTGGCTTGTATGTAATAATTGAATAAGCGTATGCTGAAACGACACATGTCCTTTTTTGTACAAAATGGGGTTATACCGGAAATCACAAATATATAGATATTTACGTCGAACTACGAAGAAATAACACTGTGTTATACTTCAAGAGAAAGCGATGTGTAGCTTGGACAATAGTCTGCAGAAACAGCACATGTCCAGGACATGTGCTGTTTCTGCGAAACAAATTATATCGGTAGCGGTCTTCTTGGTCATGCGCATCTACCGCAAATGATTTTCTCCTTGTCTAATCGCTTGCACCAAAAAATGTGAGAGAACCTTATTTTGGTAAAAAATAGAGTTTGCTTATCTTATTTTTTGCTGATCTCGTCAGTAGTTGTTTTGTGGTCCGCTGTAGTGTTTACTAGTACGCGATGGATTCCACTGAAAACGAAAGTTCTTCCCATCGAAAGAAGAGGGCAAATCCTGATTGCTACCAAAGAAGCATTATTAAAAAGGCACGTATAAAAGGCGAACCTTATAAAAACTACAAGGGTAATAATATTCCTGGCAAAATACTTGGCTCCGCTTGCAGGTAACTTTAGAACGGCTTTTTATTTCTGCTTGGCTTCTGAAAAATGTTTTCTGATCTGTTAGCTGTCGAGCAAAATGTTTTGAAAAATTCTCTAACGAAGAACTGCAATCAAATATGGCGCGCTTTATTTCTCTTGAATCTAAGGATCAACAGGACATATTTCTGCAAGGACTGATAGAGGTTCGACGTATACAGCGGCGGCGTGCTAGGGTTGAGGTGGGAACTAAAGCAAAATCCAATACCTTTAAATACTACACATTCAAAGGTTCAGACAAGATTGAAGTTTGTTTGAAAGCATTTATCTCAGTCTATGGTATAACTTTGGGTCGAGTTAGAAGACTTAAAGATCTTGCCGTGCTACGAAAATCCCCTAGAGACTTACGTGGGAAAAATCCAAGTGGTAATAAACTCGGCGAAGAAGTTCAGTTTGGTGTTCGAGAACACATTCAGTCGCTTCCCGTTAAATTAAGCCATTATGCAAATCGAGAAGTTAAGTACTTAAATAGTGAGCTGAATTTAAAGATTATATACGACTTATTTAAGGAAAAAATACCCCACATTGAAAGTCAGCTACCCATATTACACAAAGTATTTTCGAGAAAATTTTTCTTTGGGATTCGGACGCCCTCAAGATGATATGTGTGCAACATGTGAGACTTTAAGCAACAAAATAGAAAACAAGCACTTAAATGATACTGCCAAACGAGCAGCAGTTGCAGAGCTGCTAGTCCATGAACTTCGAACTAAAAATTTTTATGCAAAACTGAAAAGCGAGTCTAATGAACCATGTGATTCAAAAAATATTCTAGCTTTAGCTTTCGACTTTATGCAAAATGTTCAGTTGCAAAAACACCTGTAGGTGATGTTTTTTATTACCAGCAACTGACCATTTCGGTGTTTTGTATACATAATATTAAGGAAAATACTGCACGAATCTATATATATCATGAAGGGCAAGCGAAGAAAACTGCCAACGAGATTTGCTCTTTTCTTTTGGATTACCTTAGGGATGTTCCCAAAAATAATACAAATGAGATCCACTTATACAGTGACAACTGCTGGGGACAAAATAAGAATCTCACTTTGGTTCGCATGCTTCTCGCACTGACAGATAGTGGCCAGTTTTCCAAAATCGTACACTATTTTCCTATAAGAGGTCACTCTTTCCTTCCCTGCGATAGAGACTTTTCTATTGTGAAGAGAAAACTAAAAAACATGACAGAATCTCCACGGTTCATCAACTAACCGAATTGATTGTAATGAGCAGCAAGTTGAATAAATTTACAGTTAAATAAGTAAAAACAGAAGATATTATAAACTTTAAAGAGTGGTAGCCAAAACTATACAAAAAAACTTAATATCTGAGGAAACTTCTTCCAACATTACACCACGTAAGTTAAAGGTCCATTTCAATATAAGTACCTATTCACAATTTAGTTACGACACACAAAGAAAGCGTTGCGTCGAGGCTTCGCAATTCATAGACGGAGCTTTCCAACACACATTCAAACTCAAACAGTCAGGGAAGACTGCAGTAGCGTTACCTTCTCAACAGGCCTATCCATTGGGAAAAGTCCCTATAAAGATGACAAAAATGGAACACATAAGAAAATGTGCAGCGTTTGTAGAAGATGAATATCAAGAATTCTATACTTCAATACTTAATTGGCCAACTACTTCCAATTAGAAATTACATGTTTTTTTTCAATTTGTAATAAATAATCACGTTCCATTAGACAAAAGTATTTCAATTTCATCCTACGCTATGCAGAAAGCTCACATGTCCAATTCTTTAGAAGGCTGTACAAACTTTTTCTTTTTATTTTGAACAAAATTAAATATTAGAAAATATTACAGCCACCTTCAACTATGATTTCCAACCGCTAAACACAACAACAAATAATATAATGTTTTTTCCATTTCCTCGAAAATCACTTTTTTGGACATGTGTCGTTTCTGCAAACGCCGATTCAATTGTAAAGTCTGGTTTTATTGCTGCAAGTTGTTCAAGGGCTTATTCAAAACATAACAATAGCAAACATATTATGACCGAAAACCGAGGCAAACTGTATGTTTTGGCACTTGTTGGTAATGCGACAATGGTTTCTCAACAAAATTTGAGTACATTGGTCAAGTAGTTTCTGAGAATTTCTAATTGCTTATCCCAAAACACCTGTCTTCCGGCCATCACTACCAGTTTATTGAGCAATATACAGGATTAGTTTAAAGAGCATTTTATATCAAAATACACTAGTTTACCTTGCTGGTATGAATCGCAAACAATTCCGGAAGATAAATGTTCTTTTTATGCAAAAAAGGATGGGTTAAGTTACTCTTCTAAACAAATTCAAACGTTTCGTATTTGAGAGTAATTCGCAATAAAAGGTGATAGACACGTCCACTTTATTTTAAAATATGTAGAGTAACGTATGTTTTTCGAATATCATAGCGTATTTGTTCTATTACTCAAAAATACGAAATGTTTCAATTTGTTCAGAAGAAAAAAACGTAACCTTCGTTTTTCGCATAAAATTAACATTTATCTTTCGGAATGGTTTGTGATTCATATCGGCAAGGTAAAGACGTGTATTTTGCGATTAAATACTCTTTGAACGAACCCTGTATAGTGCTTAATAAACTAGTAGTGATAGCCGGAAAACAGGTGTTTTGGGATAAACAATTAGGGATTCTCAAAAAACTACTTGACCAATATACGAGCCCCTTCTCACTTCAGTTGGAGCACTGGAGCTGGAGATTTGCTTCTAAAACAATTTATTTTCCCAAAAACATTTTAGATACACTCTAGTCATAAAAAATACATATTTGAAATCACTAAACCTATAACTAAGAGAACATCTGAACAAATAAGCAGTGTGCGAATAAATGCGCGAAGTTAACAAAGCAACAATTGAAAGACTACTGTTGGGTAACATCACCTTTATTTGTTATTACGGCTGAAATTCTTTGGGGCATAGTATTAACCAAGTTTTGGCAAACATTTGGTGTAAAACAATCCCATATTTCTTGAATCTTTTGTCTCAGTTCGGTGATTGTACGAGCAGGATGTTGTCGTAGAACCTTTTTCATCTCCTGCCACAAAGTTTCCATAGGTGGCAGATCTGGAGTGCTACATACCCATTCCAAAAGTGGTACATTATTTCCTTCCATCCATTTTATAGCCTTTTTTGAGGTATGGCACCCTGCACCATCTTGCTGAAACATAATCTTGGCCGGATGTCAAACATTCTTCCATCACTGGTAAAAGCGATTCATCTAAAATAACCAAATAGTTTGTATCCACATTTGCATCAATAAAATGAAGTTTTCCTACTCCTTTTGATGACATACTGCCCCAGACCATAATGGATGCTGCAAATTTCACTTTTCTCTTCAGACAGTCAACATGGAATGTTAAATTTTTTTGCGAATAACTCTACTGCGACTGTCACTAACACAAACGTCGAATCGGGCCCCATCACTCAATTGTATTGCACATCATTGTTGAGGTGTCCATTATCTATGTTCTTTAGCCCATCTAAGCCGATTTTTCTTCTGCAGTGGAGTTAATAGTGCCTTTTCTTTGGCCTATAAACAAGTTGTGCAACTTTAGGGATTTTACTTCACTTTTTTATAAGAAAACTTACCTTGCAAGTGCTAAATCCCAGTTTGTGGGCCTCTCTATGAGTTGTGGACCTCGAAATTCTCCTTCCAACAGCGTCACTCCACAGAGCACTTGATTGTAAATAATTTGCACGCCTGTTTCTCACGATTATTCTTCTTAATGTTCTTCGGTCGGCATTTGTGATGTTACTTTTTTTCACATATCGTGGCTTAATATTAACTGAACCACTTATGTTATATCTTCTAACAATATTTCTCACACTGTACCGCGATCAGTCTAACAAAGTTGCAATTTCACAGTTTGGTTTCCCAGAATTAAAATATTTAATTATCAGTAACCGAATTTTACCACTGATAACCTTTCCGCTACCCATTTTGAAAACCTTAACTAGCCAAAACTATTTTAAACGTATTCTGACAGCTGTGATTAATAAAAACAATTGTCATGGCTTTTATTTTTCACAGCCACCTATGCGTTATAGACTTTTTTTGCATTGAAATGAAAATAGTTTGATATGCTGTAATTGCAACATGTGTTATTTTTATGCTGCAAATTTGATTAGGGAGTGATAAAGTTGGTGTTTTCTACTATAATTATCAAAACATTCATTGTAAATATTTTAAACCTATAACACCCTGCTACATTTTTATTATTTGTGTTTGATAGGAAAAAAACTAAGATTTCAATAGTTGGGCCAACTGAAGTGGGAAGGGGCTCGTACTCCAATTTTGGTATTTTTATTTAGAGGTTTGAATTCTACGGATATGTATGTATGTTTAAAGTAGTTGCGTGAAATTGTCGTCGCAATACCAACAAGTGCCAAAACCTTCATTTTGTCTCGTTTTTCGGCCATAATATTTTTGCTATTAGTCGGATCTTTTTACCTGTGGTCTCATGTAGTAGGTCTCATAAATACCTAATAATCTTATATGAAAATTTGTTCGTTGCAGTCAAGACTTTCGATTGAATCTCAAAAAACATATTTTATCATTCTTTGTTGTCAAATAAAATGTTTTCCCACAAAAATTGGGGTACCCGTTTTATGCATCCATGTTTGAAATACCCCTTCGCACAACTTGCTCCAATAAAACCAGACTTTACAATTATTTCGGGGAAATTTGCTAATATGATTGGACTATTAAGTGAAATATGGTACCTTTAATGATTACATGTTAGTAAATGATCTGCAATTTCTAATATTGAATCTAAGCATGCGTAAGACTGGTTTAGCTATTCTATTTAAGTGTGTTAAAAATAACAGAAATAATAGTAAGGCCTAGGTCGTTTGCCTCCTGTACTCTGTCAGGTTTGGTATTGTCCAGTATATAATCATATAGTATGATAGACTGTTTCCTGTTATCAAGCATCAGGTGTTATGGAACGGATACCAATCTTCAGATTCCTAGGCTAAACAGGCCTTTTTTTCGAAACTTTGCTAATATATGGTTGAGTAGACGATACTGTTCTCAATGTATGCAATAGGGAATTCGTGATTCTGTAATTGCGGTTCTTTTCAAGTAGTTGTATTTTAGTCCAATTAGCAAATCGAAGTCGCGCATCTGCGGCGCGTCTGTTTCCAAGGGATGCACGGTAGAAAATAAGAGAAACGCAAAGTTAATGATGATTGTTTGATAATCTCAGTAGCGAACTGGACTGTTTTCCTATAAACAGATAGTAGTTAAGCTCGCTGCTTTAGTGCGCTCTATACCTCGAGCTTAGTGCACTTTCTAAGCTAGAAACAACTAACATGAGTCCGATACTCAACATCACCTCCTACTAGGCACATGTGTCGATTATGGATTATACTATACTGAGTGACAAGGAACGGAAACACATACGTATGTTAATCCGATTCTAATAATTTTTGGCATATAATATACTAAGTGACATATAAATCCGAGCACCCAGTTTAAATGGTTTTATTTTAATAAAATTTTGTATGAGTACTTAATGAAGCATAATAAGTAAATGATAAAAACTTCAAAATGATTGCACTGCTCTAAAGCCCTTTGACCTTTAATAATATGTGGATGCACCCTGATGTGCTACGCATTCTCCAACGCGCCTAGGCATGCTTCTGATCAGGTGGTCAACGTCCTCCTGTGGTATCTCATTCCAGGCAACCACCAACTCCTCTCGACGTGCTTCTAGAGTCTGAGGAGGACGTTGCAAATTGAGCAATCTCCTACCCATCATATCCCACACGTGCTCAATTGGGGATAAGTCGGGAGATCTTGGTGGCCATGGTAACAATGTCACATCATTATGTTGAAAGAAGTCTAACTCTTGCAACATGTGGTCGGGCATTATCTTGTTGGAAAGTTGGATCTGCCAGGGTGTCAAGATAGGGTAAAAGATGGGGTTCTAGAACTTCGTGGATATAACGCTGCGCGTTCATGTTACCTCTGATGAAGATTAAAGGTGACCTGGAACCATAAGCTATAGCACCCCAAACCATAACTCCAACAGTGTGATGAACATGTCTTTCAACAAAAAACTGTGGATTCCTCCTTTCACCACGTCGCCTTCTAACCCCGACACGACCATCGTGCATGCCTAAACAAAATCGAGACTCGTCACTAAAGACAATACTGTCCCATTCCTGATCCCAGAGTGACCGTTGTCTGCACCACTCAAGGCGATTACGTCGGTGTTCTCGAGTTAAAGGGAGGACCCAGTGTGGCCGGTATGAAAACAAGCCAAAACTTCTCATTCGTCGGTAAACACTTCGTATGCCAATAGGTCTTCCGTGTTCGACAAACCATCCATTTGCAATGGACCTGGTAGTGGAGAAACGGTCCCTTAAGGCCAATAATCTTAGGCGGCGCTCTTCACGGTCTGTTGTTCTACGGCGGCGTCCAGTGCCCCTTGCTCTTTGCGTACGGCCTTCTCGAAGCCATGCCTGACAACACCTAACCACAGTGTCTACACTTCTTTGCACTCTAACTGCAATTGCCCGAAAAGAAAGTCCAGCTTCCCGAAGTCCCACTATACGGCCCCTATCAAACTCACTAAGTTGACGAAATCGTACAGGTCTCTAGGCATCGTAACCGATCGTAAAGGATGTCAAGAACCAAAATCTGCCAACGTTGATTCTTTACTGCGGCTGAAATATTCATTTTTAGAGCGTTAGTGAATTAAAAAAAGCAGTATAAAAACCGGAATGTCCAACTGACAAGGCTGAAAATTTTTTCACTTGTTATTTACACTAAGATAAATACATTCACCAACTTTTATTAGATAAAACCATTTAAACTTGGTGTTCGGATTTATATGTCACTTAGTATATATTCAGTGTCGCTTACTAGTAAAATGATAAAATTCTCAGCTTGATTCGTCACCTTTGTCACTCGGTATACATATATTCGATCTTGTAGGGAATAAGAGTCTGTTTCATTTTCGACCCCAAATCTCACAATTTATGTATGTGTTTATGTTTCCGCCTTTGAAATATGTGGAGAAATTGAATTAATGTGGACCGGATTTAACCGACTCACTAGCTGGGCTTTTTTGCAGCCACTTCGTCTTGCGCGGTGTTACGTTCAGGCGAAATTAAAGGCAAAAATATAGTGGAAATTTAGAAAACTGTTTGAATGTTGTGTGGAATGCAAATTTGCTTTCTGCAGCATATTTGCTCTAAAATGAGGTGTAGCATGGTCATACATCTTATAAGGTAAATTTTGAACTGTTGCATAAACGTTAACACAACTATTTTATACGGCATATTTGCGCGGTAGTCAAAATAGCATCCATGGTAGTATTTATACAACAAACTCGAGCCTTGCTATTTCAATTGCTCCCCACGGAAGCACTTATGCAACTGTGGTTTAGTAACTGTTAAGGGCTGTACATCTGCAACAATATCGCAACTTTTAAACAACTTCACCATAACCGAACATTCTGCTTTCTTGTTTGTGGGTTAAATCCCGTCTAACAATTATCCCTCCTATTAGAGTTGCAAGAATGATTATACAGTATTCCTTACACAGCATTGTATACTGTAAGAACGCTCTTAGAACAGCTATACAAGCGGAATGGGCACACCTAATAGGACACTTCAGTCATTTAAGATGTTGTATAAGAGCTGCAGGTAACAGTTGTACAACCAAACAGTAAACCTCTTGCAGCCGCTATAGAACATTTGCGTCAGAGCCAGATTCACCCAACTAGCAAAGTAGTGCCATAAGCTTCTGATAAAAGAACCGTTCAGCCTATTGTTGTTGCCTGAACATTATAATGCTGGCTTAATGTTTTGTGGAACGCTAATATTCTTATAGCATAGCTATACAACACCCTATAGGACAAATTTTGAACTGTTGCATAAACGTTTATACAACTATTTTATACGGCATATTTGCGCGATAGTCAAAACAGTTGTCTTGTGGCATCCATGGTAACGTTTACACAACAAACCCGGGCCTTGTTGTTTTGCTGTACAAATTTACTGCTTTAGCCAACAAATTGCTCCCAATGGAAGTACTTATACAACGGTCGTTTAGTAACTGTTAAACGCAGTACAT